GCAAAAGAGTAGCCATGAGTTTGTTTGCCCTTTCTTCTCATAAGGCTCAACCCCTTGGAAACAGGCGGTTTTAGATCGGCACAGGCATATCATAGATTTTGTATAAGTACAATTTTTACTAAATTAATTTTCCTGACTATTTGACAAAACAGTGATCGTTGCCATTGTGGGTATGTTGATCTACGACTTTCTACATAAAAGTGAGTCTACATAAAAGACGATTTCAAACAATTTTAATTTTTGTATGAAAGAAAGATATTTTGTTGCCATTGTGGGTATGTTGATCTACGACTTTCTACATAAAAGTGAGTCTACATAAAAGACGATTTCAAACAATTTTAATTTTTGTATGAAAGAAAGATATTTTGAATTGAATTGATCACAACCCAATTTCTAAAATAATTTCTTAACAAATGAAATTAGACATTCAATATTTCTCTATAAACTTTAAAGTCAGTAAAAACCATCTAACTACAGAACTTTTGATCTACATGACACTGAGTTCCCCTTCTTTGAGACCTGAGAGAGGATGGTTTCTGGTTGTTTCTGCCACCATCACCGTATTTAGGATAATGATAGAAACACAATAACTGGATAGAATAATCAATATCTAGTTGTATAAATTTATAGCACTCGAGTATTGAAACCGACCGCAAGCCACGGGCCCGACCGCACTGCTAAGCTACATTACACAAACGATTACACTAGAATGTGCGTATTTGATCAATGCATAGTATAATCGTTGAACAATATGTTTTAGTAGTTAGTTACTAATAAAAGGTTACTAAATAACAGAGATATGACGCTGCAGCGCACGGAGAATCAATACGCTCAAATATAAGTGAGCTGGGCATGTCTCCAGGCGGACTGGTGGTCACCAGGGACTTCCTTTCTAGGGTATACCTGGTTCCCCGGCTATTAGTACCCGAGACGGCGTGCGGTTTTAGTCGGTTCGAGTCCGACATGCCACCGACAGGTGGTATCCGAGGGGACTTCCGCACGGAAAAAAAAAAAAAAAAGGCGGACTGATGGTCGCTGGAGCCGACGTGTGTTAGAGTCGAGACCGCGATTGGGCAAATGTATTGTAGGGAGGAAAGTGGCTGTCAGCGGATCTGAATCTTAACTGCCCAAGACCGGGATAGTTGGCGCTCCTTGGGGGAGGCTTTCATTCAGAAGAGGACGGCGATAGGCTGATGATGACGCTTGAGCAAATTATTATATTACACACAACGCATAGATTGATATTGTTGTTATAATGATGTGTACTTGTTGCATCAAATACTAATTGTCAAAGGCAAAATGTGATCGTTAATCAGGCAGATGTCTTATAGACATTCTGAGAACTGTTAGGCAGATGTCCAATATGTGTCTAGTGAAGTGACTGGGCACAATGTATGTCATGAAACTGGCATAATTTAATCCCAAGTGCGAAGCTAAAAGATGCGACATGAGTCAATGGATCTTATCCAATAAATTACAAATTAAAATTGTGACAACTGAAGGTCTTTTTTAATGTAAAATAATCTTGAGTGATTATAAAACTTCAGAAAGGAATTTAGACTTAGGAAATAGAGTTTAAGGTTGAGGCTTAAATAGAAGTCGTCAGTTATTCAGATTTAACGATTCGTGATAAAAGATGCGCTGGATATAACAGTTACGATTGGCCTACCGTTTAATAAACTGTATTCTCTTTTGGATGCAGGACGCAGTCAAATTCGATTTAGAAATTTTGCCTGCTCTTTTATCAAATTCAAATAAAAAAGGGAAATAAAATTCAGGGAAACAAAATATAAAAGTAACATAATTATCAGTCAGACTACTTCCAATACGTTTATTTATTACGATTCTATTTATTTTTTATTCAATATTGTGTGTTGGTACGACTCTAACCTGGCAATCATAGTGAACATAGCACGTGGATTCTAACCCTTCACAGCGCGTTATTTCCAAATGAACGGCCAACGCCACGCAGTTGACGCATCTTCCTCCAACAACTGCCAACAGTGATACAGCAAAGCGTGCTTGCTCACACACGTAGGATTTTATTAGAACATTTCTCATGTGTGTAGACATTTGGTTGTTTGATTCCTATGGTTTGTTTAATGAAAATTTATTTTGTTACTGTTAGATAACGAAAAACAATTTCAATTTGGCAATCATTCACAGAAATTAAAAAATATTTACTTTACCCTTTTTTTGATTTCTGGTTTCAGATTAATTGAGGTTTTTATTTTTCTTTAAGGTTTTAATTGCCTTCAAATTCAACAAAATATTTTCTAATATATCTTTCGTTTTTGTTCTTTTTTTATTTTTTGTAATTTCTTTGTCCTATATACGTTTTGTGTCTATTTTGTACAGAACAAAATATTTACGACGGGGACACATACCTTAGCAAATATTGATCCTGAACTCTTCAGGAGACGACGGTTCAAGTTGAAGTAATCATTGTGTTATGATAATAAAATTAATAAAGTAGGATAGGACTTATTTAAAATGGAAAAGACAGGATGGCTTTTTTCATTGCTCTTTTACCACCTAGTGCAATTGTGGGAACCCGTCATGCGTCATAAACGAACGTCAAAGATATATTGTCCCATGAAAATAAATTAAAGAGTCATCCTCGCCTGGCACCTTACATGACTAGAGTGTACGATCAAATTGTAAGGTCAAAAATAGTTCTAAGACAAACTTATTAATAAAACTGATACGTAGATGTATCTGCGAACATTAGTGTTTCGTGTACAACATGCTTAAAAGGGTTTCCATCGCAGCCCACGTTAAATTTAAAAAAAATAGCTTTTGCAGTGTCCAAATAGAGACGGCCTTGAATGTTTGCGTGTCTATAGTATAGTTTTTTCGTTGGCAGCCCTGCCGTTTGTCGGTTGATGAGACATGCTCCACGCTACTACGCTTGTACGGCGTGCGCGCTGCGCAAGGTGCGTACGTATACGACGGCGCGCGTGGGCTGCGGCTGCGCATACATTGAAGAGCTCTTGACTTTTCTTAGGCGTTGTTACATCATCACATTGTTCGAAACAGGAAACGTAACCTTTTTAATTTTATTAATTTTAAAGGCTTCATCACTGTTGCACTGTTGATGTACTCGAGTGTTTGAGCTTCATTGCTGTTTGTTTAGTATAATAATCACTCCACTCCAACAGATAAGGATGTCTTTATATCATGCTTGTTTGCTGTAGATTGTGGTCGAAATTTTCAAGAGCACACCGTTGATCACCGGGCCGTAGGTACATGTTTGAATACTATATTTCTAGATAAAAATGTGTGTTAGATAATTCATATCTCTAAATATTTACAACACTAATGATATAGAATGTAAACATTGACAGTGGCTTGGCGAGTAATACAGAAAGACGGCTATAGTTTTGTGTAGTATCATTGAGGGACCGGTTCCAGAAAATGTTTACATATATATAGTATTTTAAATTTATGTATATGTACGGGAATGAATGTACCGTGGTCGACAGCCTTGGTCAATCAGTCAAGTCATAGGACCACGGCCAGTGCAATCTGGTCAAAATTTAAGGCAAATCAAAGATATGTAATAGTCGTTACGTGATCGCGGTAAATCCTGTATAACATCATCATATATCATGAAACGCGATTTTTTTTTAAATTCCAGAGCCTTCTTTACTTAAATTTACAAATTATTTTTCAGAAACCTAAAAGTTTTATACAACACTATTGATCCGCTCCGGCTTCGCACGGGTGCAATGTAGATACTACTGATACTGCTAATGTGGTGTCAGTGTGGGGTAATTAATTATAATATTATTATGATAGGACTATACTACAGGACATATTGAAATGCAATACTCGTATTAATAGGCCCCTACCGGCCGCTGCCACCCGGGATTGTCGTTGGGTCGCCATTCTAAACCTCTAATATCTTCTAAAATATTCATTTTAATGATATGCTGTGAAAAGCAATTTAAATCTACTTTTAATGGCCAACGTATTTGGAGAAGGAATAATAATGTAGATATAGTTTAAAATAGCTTCGTAAATAACCAATTTTTTTTTGTAATATTTAAAAGATAATAATGGTTACTGTAGGTTATCCTTAGGAGATAAACATATACCATTGCGGACTTTTTTGTAGATATTTTTAAGATAAACAATTCCGCTATCTCATAAATTTTAGCCAGCGTTTACAATGTGAGCGCACAAAAACTTTGAAATTCACGGTTTTCTAAATGGTATTTCTATAATATGCATTTATTGTACATATAAACTTTCCTCTTGAATCACTCTCCCTATTGGTGAAGACCGCATTAAAATCCGTTGCTTAGTTTAAGAGATCTGAGCGTACAACACAAAAAAGCGACTTTGCAAAGAAAATAAGACATTCATAGAGATATTTTTCTAAATCTAGAAGGAAATGTAGCAATTTCGATAAATCACTACGAGCATAATCGTAAATGTTAAAAAAAAACATATTATTTGTGATGTAAATGGCCCATACCTAAACTAATGATTTTAACGATCCATATTCACCTGCACTTCTTCACGATTTAAGTTGCATAATACGTCACACCACAAATTGAATGCCACGGGTTAATGAGTATTTGACCACATGTCAAACGATGGTCGGTAATAACTAACAATTAATACAGCGCATATGATTTCAATTTACCATTTAATTACTATAAAATATAGTAAGGTCCGTGTGGTGACGGATTAAGAATACAGAGTGTCACCACCCCTATTCATCCCGTGGGTGTCGTAAGAGCCGACTAAGGAAAAAAAACTAAGCAGGACAACAGCACTGCAGAGAGAAGGAAAACTTGACACAAACCCTTTACCAACCCGTCTGGCCAGCGTGGTATAGTAGGCCAAAACCTCCTTTCTCAGGAGAGGCTTATGTCCAGCAGTGGACTATTAAAGGCTGTTGATGATGATGAAAATATAGTTCAATAAAAATATAAAACATACAACATACATTTTTTTTTGTAAAAACAATGTGAACAATGTAAACTTACTGATGTCGGTGACGTCATTCCACTTCATGATGACGTCAGTGCAGAAATCACCTGAAATAAAACGACACGGTTATAACAAACACATTGTTTATTTTAATTACAAACAGTTAATTAAAAAATCATCTTGTTTACTACTTACTAATACTATTCTTTATATTTGCAAACCTAACACCAGTTAAAGTGCATATAGTCAAAATAAGTAGCTAATTACTTCTTAATTAAATTGACATTCTGCTGGCCCGGCCACAGCCGAACTCAGAGTCCGCCTGTGGCCAGTGTTACCTGGTCTAAATTTCAGGCAATTTAAAGGTATGTCTATTCAAATGCCTAAAAAACAACAAAAATTTAACTAAAAGGTAAGATGCTAACTAAAAACAACGGCACTAGACCAGTAGTAATACACTATAGTAGTAAACGAGTATAGTTGCAAATATAGAATAAATACAAAGAGATAAGAAAGATAATAGAATAAAAATATAAATAGTAATTAACAGATAAAGAAATAACTAGCAATAAATAGCACCTAGAACTTGTAATGCGCAGAGCAGAGGAGGTCCCACTCTACAACAGATGGGGTGGGTAGATGTATATTAATGTATACAGAATAGCATACAATTAGCTCAATAAGGTCCCGGTGTATCCTTGACTGGGGAAAAGCGAATATAAAAAAAAAAAAAAAAAAAAAAAAAAAAAAAAAAAAAAATGCCTTTTAATGGAATTTAAAAGTAAATATAAACCACATAATTGTTAAAAACAACTTTATATTCTTTATGATATGTTATATTTTTGTTAACCACCCATGTTAGCAGTCCGTGGGGTGACGGATTAGAATACAGAGTGTCACCATGCCTATTCATCCTGTTTGCGTTGTAAGAACCGACTAAGGGACTAAACTCTGTAGGACAAGTCTTAGTTTTAGTACTTACAAAAAAACAAAAAAAAAAACCCGCTACAAGGAGAAGAAAAATTTGACACCTTGATCAACCCGTCTGGCCAGGGTATAGTAGGCCAACATTATGTCCAGTAGGGGACTTTTCAAGGCTGTTGATAATGATTATGTTGTTAGCTTTTTACTCCGATCCCCAAATGAATAAATGTTAAATAATTTTCATTTACAAAGTCATAACTCAGTTGAACTATCTCCCGTAATTAAGTCTAGAATAACAAAATTTACATATAATATAGTATTTTTTATCTGTGAGAGTGAGAATCTTCACAATGTATGCTCCTTTAATTATAATTATACATAATAGTAGAATTGGTTATAAAAACAGTGTTAGGTATATTGCATACAATGAGTGGCCCGTTTGCGTTTAACTAACAGTGTGTACACACGAGACGTGTGGCGCTAGTGGCGGGTGCACACGGAACTGCCGTCGGGGCGGGCACGTTCATTATAACTGTTTACGCACGGTCGTGCCTACAGACAATTTTTCTGGCATTATGTGAACTTGTGGAGATGTAGATGCTGTGTTGTGCAACGTCAAAAGCCTTATTTTCTAAGCGGTTGGCACATAACTTCAGCTTTTTTACATCACACGTTGCATAAGTTATCACACATCAACAAACTTTAATTGTCCACTACTGGACATAGGTCTCTCCTTAGAAAGGAGGTTTTGGCCTACTATACCACGCTGGCCAGACGGGTTGGTATAGGGTTTGTGTCAAGTTTTCCTTCTTTAAGTTAAGTAATAAGTTATACGGCAGTAAAAAATAGTACTCTTTTCCTACATATTATTTAATTGACATTTATTTAATTAATAAAATAGTATAAGTAGGTTCATCTAAAATATACAATAAGTTTGCCAATCTGTAACCGAGAATAATTCTTCCCAGCAATGGCGTAGAATTCCTATTTTCAAAACATGAACTCTCGCTAAGACAAAACTGAGGCACCGTAATGGCGGCAGCTCTCTATGTGTTAATGAATTTGGGGTTACCAACTTACCTAAATTTATGCCCTAAAACATTTTTTTTGTTTGAAATTTTACTGTTTAATATCCTAAGTGCTGAGTATTTTTGTTTTTTTAACTAATCTTTTACTTTAAGAGGTTCTTGAAATTTCCTAAATAGGTTCCTCTATATTGAAACCGAATCGTTAAATATTTTTCCGCTACATATTTAATGAGACTTATTTTGTGTTCTATTAAAAAAAAGTATGTTCGAATTCGAGAATTTTATTAGAATATTTTTGAGTTGTCTTTCATCTTCAACTTAGAAAATCTAGTAAAAAGAGTATGAAATAAGATACTTAGTAATAACTATTAAATAGAGAATCTTAATAAATTGATTTTAATATTTCTTAAGTCCGCCTTATGCAATATGTTTGCAGGAAGGCTCAATAAATAAATAAATTAACATTAATAATAAACGGTTTGTTCTTATATTTCTTTTACATACATTTTAAGTAAATTTATTTCATATTCCCGCTACTCCTGGTAGTATTCAATTACCGAGCACGCGAGTAATATACCGGCGTGTGTTTTCGCGGCCAGGTATCTATTGCGACACGCAATAATAGTGACGGAATCGATTAAAGTAAAGCAGAATGTACATCGTAGCAGAGTGCTGCGATTTCTCACATTATAGACACAATTCTCAGGCTATTACAAGTGTTATTGTGTACTTGTCACTTTTGCTATATATAGATGAACCTTTCAAATCAGTTGTGTCTAAAATTTTTAAGATAAAATCAACAAACAATGCGTAATAAAATATTATTGTCGCCGTATTGTGGTAACACTGTTGAGGCGGACTAGCAAATTGACTTGAAAATGTTCAGATTTGTGATCTGTAGCTTTCTCTTCAAGTTATCATATGTATGGGAGCCTCGAGCTTTGGCAAAAGATTAAAGCAAACGGGTTGCCCGATGGTATTAATAACGGATTGACTGCACGGATGGCATAGTGGTTTAAGTGGTCACCTCGACGCTTCCTATTTCGCTGAGTGTTGTGGGTTCGACCCCCACATGGATGTCCCATGTGGGGGTCGATCATTTTGTGTGATACACAAATTGAATGCGGGAGTTGTCTTTAAAAAAAAGATGGTAAGTGATTATCGACGCAAGTTAAAGTCACAAGTGCGTTGCCATCCTTTGGGTCCAGAATTGAAGAATTACGGGGAGGAAGGAAGGAGCTTGGCGTCCCGTTACCTTAATCACTCGGTGATACGCAACAAAAAACAGCTTAACACCAGTCTTCTGTGAGGCCAGGGTATCACTACAGTCGAACCTGTCTATATGTGGCAAAGTACGGTTCTATGAAGGTTAAATGTACTGTAGTTTATTTTCCAATGTGATTTGCTTGGTAATGTCGGTTTTTAAATTGAATAGATAAGTCGAAACTCTTTGAACAAAATAGCTAGTAAGAAGGTGAGTCGTATTTCAATCATTTAAAGGCGTACCTGAACGAATTGTTAATACCTGTATAGGCTTCAAAAATTTGACGAGATTCTTTTGTATGATTGGACACGCTGACTTTAAACCACATAAAATATCACTATATCACGCAGCATAGCCTGGCGGAGGAACAAACGAAGAAAAAATTGCGAGCAAACAGATAGACACTTTCATAAGAATCGTTGTGACGCTTAAGAGCATACAGAAAAATTAAAAAATGTCAGGTAAACAGCAAAAAGCAAGTACAGGTTACAAATCGTAAGTATGTAGCACAATGTCACTTATAATTTCATTAGCACAAATAGTAAAGAATGACAGTTGTAAAAACGATCTAAAGTAAATAGTATGTCCAGCAGTGGACGTCTTTCGGCTAAGATGGCTACAAAGAAGTTAAAGAGACACAATACACATTTATACATGGACAAAATATCGAATCCCATTAAATTTAGTTTAAATAATGATTTTTAAGTAAACCTGTGTGTTTAGGCAATATTACTCGTAACAGGACATGTGCATATCTGGTTCTAGCGGTCCAATTTTCTGGCGACTCAAAGTGTAAGAAAACGTGAACATAAGATGTGAAGTCGTGCGATTTGTGGCTCGTGTGTTTCCGTCCTTAGCGAGTTCACGACATACACTTGTCGACCTCTGTTTGAGCAATTTGCAGTGCAGCGATACACTAGAATCTAAAGTTATAACTACGAGTATAAGTCGCATAATATTGTTTATCTCTGTAGTTTCTGTGAGCGGCTTATGATAGCAAAATTACAGATTACATTTATCGAATGCAAAACTTTTCCTTTCTGAAAATAATCTTATTAAAGTACTATCATTTTTTGGGCATAAATAATTCTATAATAGTTTCTGCAAATATATAGAGCCCGGCTTAGAGCATATTTTGCAATCGGCTACCAACCTTTATCAGTACATAATAAACCGACCGCCTCTGTCCGTCTTAACGCGATAAACTCGAAAAGTACTAAACAGATTTTCATAAGGTTTTTTCCCATGGCCAGAGTGATTTATCAGAAATAGATAGGTGCATAATTCATTTAGGTTTTGTATAATTTTGATGCATTATGACAACGTTTCTTGAACATGTCAGATAAAATCATGGCGACTACTACTAGGCGTTTTACTGGCATGCCGCGAATCAATGTATTACGGATTTATTCATTTTAAAAACATCTATTACAACAACTCTATATGGCTATACTTCTTTGTGTATCTGAATGTAAATTATTTATAATATGGATGTATTTAGAAATATATAAGTACGTTTATTTAAAAATGTTTAGTCCTCCAGGCTTTAGACCTCTTAAAAAAGTTTGACTAAAATGTATAGTGTACTTAAAAATATAATGATGCGTTTTCGCTGCAAAATGATCAGTCTGTTGTCACCTTTACTGTAAGATACGAGTATTTACGAGTTAGTTTTATGCTTGAAGAAAGAAAGTCATTTATTTCTGTTAATATGATATAATAATATAATATTTATTTCATCATCATCATCAACAACCTTTAATATATACCAATCCGTCTGGCTAGCGTGGTATAGTAGGCCTAAACCTCCTTCCTAAGGAGAGGCCTATGTCCAGTAGTGGACTATCAAAGGCTGTTGATGATGATGATATATTTAGTAATAAAATTAATA